AGTAAAAAGAATAACCACAGACTGGCAAAAAATATTTGCAATTCTTATATATGATATGGGTCTAGTATCTAGAATATAAAAGAGCTATTAAAACTCAACTGTAATACAGATACATTATGCAATTTACAAATGGGCAAGGAATTTGAACAGACATTTCTCTAAATAAGAAATCCAAAGAGCCAATAAGGACATAAAAAATGTTCAACACTATTAATCATTAGGGAAGAGAAAATCAAAACCACACTAAATATATACTTCACACCCAATAGAATGGCTATAATGGAAAAGAGTTAATATCAAGTGTTGATGAGGATGTGAAGAAATTGGAACCCTCCTATATTGCTGGTGAGAATTTAAAATGTTGCATCAACTTTGGAAAATAGGTTGGCAGTTTCTCAAAGCATAAATATGGAGTTCTTGTATGATCCAGTGATTCCTTTACTAGGAATATACCCAAGAGGATTGAAAACAAATGTCCACATAAAAATTTGTACATGAATTTTCATAGCAGCATTATCCATAATAGTCAAAAAGTGGAAGTAACTCAAATGTCTATTTACCTGATTGATGGATAAACAAAATGTGACATAGGCATACAATAGAATATTCTGTAGCATAAAAAGGAATGAAGTGCTGGCTAATATTTTAACATGGATGAACCTTGAAAGCATTGTGATAAGAGAAAAGAGCCAGACACAAAAGATCATATGTTGCATGATTCCACTTACGCAAAATGTCTAGAACAAGCAAATCCTTACAGACAGAAAGTATATTAGTGGTTGCCAGGGGCTGGCAGTAGGGATGGTGGGGAATGGAGAACCACTGCTAATCCATATGGGACTCTTTCTTGGATTGATGAAATTGTTCTGTAATTTGATAGAGGCGCTAGTTGAATAGCTTTGCAAATATACTAGAACCACTAGATTGTACACTTTAAACCTGTAAATATTATATGTGAATTCTATCTTCATAAAGAAAGGAATTAAGATGTAGTAATTTAGAGTAGAATGTGTTTCCTTCAAACAGCTATTTCCTAAAAGAAATGAGGGAGGATATGGCTGAGACACATATGTTGAGTTCTTGTTTCTAAATTTATGAAGCAGATAATTCACTTTTCATCATGTGAGGCAGAGTGGATGAGGGGTAAGAGAGACAATATATTACTCTAATGTAATGTTTTCCCCCTTGTAAACATACAGGCAGGGGAAAGTAGTCTTCCCTCCTTCCCATACAAACACATACTTTTGTGGTGTATATACATGGAGAAAAACAAATGGTTTATGTTATACCTAATATATTCCTAGTATTCTGCTACATTCAATGCATATAAAGATGAAAAATAAAACTAGAAATATAGAGAAAAACCTTGAAAATATTGTTTACTAATAGATACAAGGTTATCATGCCACTGAACATCTTAAAACAGATAAAATATACGAAATGTTTTTCAAGACATGGGCATCATACAACAAATGGTAATTATCCATGAGAGACAGAACAAATTTGAAGGGAGGCTTAACACTGCCTCAGTTTCGGGGCAGAGTTTCAGTCCACACTGCAGGGATCAGGACCTCAGACAGAGCCTGAGTGTCCTCCTGAATTGAGGAGATGGAGCTGAGAGTTCTGAGAAAGAAAAGTGGATAGTGGTCACAGGACAGATTTTCAGAGAGGAGAGAACTGCACAGACATAGACATCCAGAGATTTGTAGAGGATCTTCCTCAAGTCTTCCGCTGAGCAGTGATCAGCATGTGTATAACGTGATTACCCAAGACTGGAGGAGGAGCCATCCAAATGGAGTAGAAGGTAGTGTCCCCCACAGTCATACAGGACTAGAAGTAGATACTGTTGTCATCAGCCATAATGAAAAACCAGAAAATCCAAAGGGCACAAAATTATTTGAAGAAATATAGAAATGTTTAAAATTTGATGGAATAAATCCATAGTTCCAAGAAGATCAAAGAATTCCAAATACAAGAAACACGAATAAAATGATACCAAGGCAGATGTTCATTAAATTGCTTAAGACAAGAGGTGAAGAAAAAATCTTACAAGCAGCAAGACAAAAAAAAAAGACATCACTTGCAGAGGAACATCTGAAACATCTTTTGTTTTTTGCCTTGTTCTTTTGTATAAAAAGAACAAAACTGTTAACTATATCCAGCAAAATATCTTTCAATATAGGTAACACTTTTCAGACATAGTAAATTGAAATTCACCAACAGAAGACTTCACTATAGGAAATGTGAAAGGAAATCCTGAAGGCAGAAGGAAAATGACACCAGATGGAAACTAGATTTCAAATACAAGTGAATGAAATGGTAAATACGTACATAAATATGAAAGATATTCTTGTTACTACTTAAATCTTATTAAACTAAAATTGACTACTTAAGGGAAAAAAAGGTATTTGTGGGGATTATAACATACATGGAGGGTAGCATATATGACCACCATAACAAAAAGGACAGGAGAGGAGAAATGCAAATATGCAGTTGTGATTTTTTTATATTATGACACAATGCACCTTGAAGGGAGCCAGTGGTAAGTCAAAACGAATGCCATAAATCCTACAGCCAACACTAAAGATGTAAAAAACAAAGAGTTAAGCTAATAAACCAATAAAGGAGATAAAATGAGTAACCAGCAAAAATAATCCAAAATAAGGCAGAAAAAGACAGGAAAGAAGGAACCAAGAACAGATGGAACAAATAGAAAGATACCAAATTTATACCCAATCATAATAATCATAATACTGTAAGTGAGTTTAAAAATCAATTAAATAATTACTGTGAGACAATAAAGAAACATGCAAGTATATGTTCCTTACAAGAAATCCACTTAAATATAAAGAAAAAGTAGATGAGAAGTAAAATGCTGGGTAAGGTTATACCATGCTAACACTAATCAAAATGAAGCTAGAGTGACTGTGCAAGTAACAGAAAAATTAGATTTTAGAGCAGAGACTATTATCAGGTATGAAGAAGTTCTTTCATAATAAGAAAGGGACAAATCATCAAAAGGACATAGGAATCCTAAATGTTTATGTGCCTAATAAGAGAATTTTAAGATACATTAAGCAAAAATTGATAAAATTCAAGTAGAAATAGTAAAATTCACAGTTATAGTCGGAGATTTTCAACATCTCTCTCTCAATAATTGAAAGAACAATAATCTATAAAAATTACCAGGCTATAATAAGAACATAGAACACTTGAACAACACTAGCATTCAACTTGACATAACTGACATTTATAGAATACCCCACTAAACAGCAGCACAATATACATTCTTTTCAATTATGCAAGAATACATAAAGGTAGATCGTATTCTAAGCAGTAAAAAAATCATGTATTTAAAAGAATTAAAATTATACAGAATATGGTCTCTAACCACAATATATCCAAATTAGAAATCAATAACAGAAAAGTCTCTAGAAAAATCTTCAAATATGTGGGCACTAAATATCACACTTTTAAATAATCCGTAGGCCAATAAGGAAACCAATTGCAGAACTAGAAAATATTTTAAACTGAATGAAAATTAAAATACATATCAAAATTTATAGTATGCAGTTAAAGTAGAATTTAGAGGGATAATTATAGAATAAATGGCTACATTACAAAAGAAGAAAAGTTTTATGTAAATGACTTCAGTTTCCAAACTAAGCAATGAGAAAACAAAGAGCAAGCAATATAGGAAAAGAAATAAACTAATGAATATCAGACAGAAATAGGATAATTAGAAAACAAAAAGTGGAAGAAATCAGTGAAACCAAAAACTAGCCCACTGAAAATAAATAAATTAGTAAGCTTCAAGCATGACTAATCAGAGAACAGAGGGAAGAGACAAATGACTAATATTTACAATGAGAGAGGTGACATCATTACCGATTGTGTAGACAATAAATGGCCAATAAAGGATTACCATAAACAACTTTTACTGATAAATTTTAGCAAACATTTAAGGAAGAAAATAATACAATTCTACATAAACTATTGCATAAAACTGAAAAGGAATGAATAGAACCCAAATCATTCGTCGAGGTCAATATTACATTGATTCCAAAATTAGGCAAAAATATAAAAGAAACAAAAATACAGGTCAATTTTCAAATGGGGCTTATCCCAAGAATATAAAGTTGGTTTAACATTTGAGAATCAGTCAATGCACTTCACCATATTTAAAATAAAACTGGAAAGATAAACTATATGGTTACATCAATGGCTGAAGGAAAAAATTCTAATGTAAAGGAACTTTCTCAACCTCTTGAAGGGCATCATTTAAAATCCACAGATATTATTCTACTTAAATACAAAAAACTGAATGATTTCTCTTGAGATCAGAAACAAGGCAGGGTGTTTCTTTCACTATTTCTATTAAACACGTACTGAAGATTTTTGCCAGTGCATTAAGAAATGACAAAACAATGAATGCTGTCCAATTGGAAAAGAAGAAGTAAAATTTTCCTCATGTGTAATCCACATGATCATCTATGTAGAAAATTCTACAGAATCTACAAAAGAAGGTACTTAATCTAAGAAGTGAATTTAGAAGGGTTGCAGGATACAAGATAAATTAAAAAAAATCAATTGTATTTTTATAAACTAGCAACAATCAGAAATTAAAGAACCAATATCACTTACAATACCTTAAAAAATATGACATACTGAGAAATGAATTTGACAAGATATACAAGAGGATTACTGAAAACTACTCAACATTACTAAGAGAAATCAAAGAAGACTGAAATAAATGGATGAATATACCACGTGTGGTATTGTGATGTGTAAGAAATATGAATTCGGTCTTTGTCCCTGCTCCTGGCACAGAACTCCTAAAACCCTTGGAATCTGAATACACGTGGTTTTTGTTATTCATTACAAGTCCCTTGCAACCACATCTCAGTTTATATTAATGAGGTGACTTTTGGAAAGCCCTAAGAATGGGGGCTGGTTGCTAGGGAAACCAATTGTGTGATTAGAGGGTTGGAACTTCTAGTCTTACTTCTGACCTCCAATCCCTGGGAGAGGGGCTGGAGATTGAGTTCAATCACTAATGGCTGAAGACTGAATCAATCACGTCTGTGTAATGAAGCCACCACTAAACTGCAAAGGGATAGGGTTTGGAGAACTTTCAGGTTGGTGAACACATGGAAGCGCTGGGATGCTGGCGCACCCAGAGAGGGCATGGAAGCTCCTCTAACTTGCTCTATGCATCTTTTCCATCTGGCTCTTCCTGAATTGTATCCTTACACAATAAACTAACTGGTAATCTAGTAAGTAAACTGTTTTCCTGAGTTCTGTGAGTTGCTCTGGCAAATTAATGAAACACAGTAGCAGGTCATAGGCATCTCTGATTTATAGCTTATCAGTCAGAAGCACAGGTGACAACCTGGACTTAGGATTGGCATCTGGAGTGAGGGCAGTCTTGTTGGACTGAGCCTTTAACCTAAGGGATCTGATGCTAACTCCAAATAGTGTCAGAATTGAGTTAAATTGTAGGACGTACAGCTGGTGTCAGAGAATTGCTTGATGTGTGGGAAAATCCACACATCTGGTTTCAAACTGAAGTATTGAGAAGAAAGACAAAACAGAAGGGTTCCCCCTCCACTCTGTTCATGCATCAGAAGACTGACAGAATGCTAGCAGCCTCTCCAGGTCTTATGATGGATGACTGAAGAAAGATGTCCACTCGAAAGGAAGGCAGAGTAAAGATTGTCCTTTGTAAAAGATACTTCGATTAAGAAAAAGGAGTGTAAAAATGCAGTTAAAGTTCCAAACCTAGAAATTGTTTAAATATAATTCAGAGAATAGCCACTGATACAAACAGGAAAGTTAAGCAGGGAGAGAATGGGCTTGGGTCAGAGGTGTGGGAGCCTGTCAGGTTGGATGATGACTGCTGGGCAACAGGAGTGCTTTTGGGGTGGAGTCACACCCTCATGGGACAGAATAAAATAGCCCAAGACTATGGCAGCCCAGTGGAAAGATTAATTTAGAAGAGATTTAAATCTGAATATTATCATCAAACTAAAACAAAGAGTAGTATAGAAGATAAATAATGTGATAACTTTTCATGTCAAAAACATTTTAGTAAATTATTATAATTATAGTAATTTAAAATCATATTAAATTATAAATTACTGTGTCCCTTCCCAAATCTCATAATTCATATCTGATTTTTTAAAAAATCAATTAAAACTCCTGTGATGTTAATGATAAACTTTTAATTTGAACTTCAAGAGTAAGTTCTTTCTCTTTCTTGGAATGAAGTAGTAAACATTTGACTTTGGGTGAACTTAGTGAGGAAAGCGTTTGTGCTAGAAGACCCAGGGGAAGCTTACACAGCACAGCAGCAGCCTAAGGAGCCGAGGGAAAAAAAAACCACTGTGTTTTTATTATATCATGGGGTACAACCAACCAAATAAAGAGTTAACATTATTATTAAAATTTCCTTAGTAAATGCGACATTTTTCTTGAACCAGCAAATATAAGTATTTTTAAAATTACATGAGGATTTTTTTGGTAACTTGTTCTTAAAGTAAAAGATATTTCTCATATATAAACCGAACGACAACAACAAACTCTAGATGACATTTAGTCTTTGCTAGTTAAAGTGGTGAAACACATGTACACACATACATCACACTCACATTCACCTCACACTCTAACATATTCATACCAACAAATACACACTTAATAGTCAAATACACACAAACACAAATGCCTGTGGCTTTTCATTCAGTATCTTGTGTGGAACTAATCTGAAAAAGCAAAACTGAAATATTACTTATGGAAAAGTGGATCATTATTGAAAATATGTTTATTTACAGAATACTGACATTCTTTTTGTATGAAAAAACTACAGTATGGTTGGAATTTCATAGACGGAATGAAGTTCAAAGATTTATTACAGATTTGTTTTCAATATATGTAGAGTGCTTTAAATTTTTGATTAAGCAGCCTATTTAAACAGCAGGAGGTCAAACATACACTGAATGGTTCCTCCAAAAATGAAAGAGAAGAAAAAGTACCTCAAGAGGGAATTATAACATTCGTAAGGGCACATTTACTTTTTCAGAGGCTTTTCAGCCTAATGTGCATGGAAGCAAGGAGCATAATGATGTGCTTGATGTTATAATCCTTTGTATAAAGCAAAATCTTTTGGTCAAATGTTACTACTAAAACATTTAAAGTCAATAAATATTGTATTGATCCTTCCAAACGTCTCATTCAATCCTTCCATAGAAAACGATTTGTTTATAAGAGGATTTTTATTCATAGCATACTCTTAAAAACTACATAAGCAATGCATAAAATACAAAAATTAGAAAAATCTGTAACCTTTTTAGATAATAAACAGAAACAGGATAAAATAGTACCATGTTATGGCTACCTCAGACAATATTGATTAGGATGAAAAACCATTAACTCTCATTTAATACAAGAACAGATGTGGCAGACATGATGCTACTGGAATAACTGTTACTAAATACAAAACTCCTTGGTCTTGCAATTTTTAATGTATGGGGGGAAAAGTCCTGAATATAAAGAAGTATGAAATTGGAATGCTCAAAACTCAAAGAAAAGTGAAAATGAGGTGAATACCAAAATAGGAGAAAATTTCAGAACTTTAAAAAACATTTTGAAGTCTAATTTGATTTAAAAATTAATAAAACTCAGTGTTTATTGAATGTTTCCCAAGGGCCAGACAATGTGCTGAGGGCAAAGCGCAAAAGAAAGGAGGTATTTCTTACCACCAATATAATTCTGCCTTCCAGGACCCGGCTATTAGAAAAGAGGTTCAATGTGAATATACTGACAATAACAACAAAAAAAGAGATTAGAGAATTAAGAAAGAAAATTCTAGAGGGCTTAAAGATCACATCTGGAAGGATCTGAAAGGCCTCTTGAAGGTAGGTATTAAGTTAGAAACTGAAGGGTCTGAGATTTTGCCTTACTTGCAAGTTAACAAGTGAGCCTGCCACAGTGTTATAGGCGTATACCAAGAAAGCATGAGAACCTGTGTTAGAGACAGACTAGTTATGACTCAAGATAAAAACAGCAGTCAGAGCAATATCTTGTATTAGTGTCCTGAGCCCTGACCCCCATACAGTGACACAGTGAGGGACAGATGCTATCTGCACGTGTAGTGGGGTGCATCACAGAAGAGGAACTCAGAAATTAGGAAATGCTGATCTTTCTAGGGTTGCTGGTTCCTACACACTCACCTCTCAAATGAGAACAAGGGGCCTAGTCTTTACTCTGGAAGGTAAACAAATCTTCTTTGGGGAGGAAAAGGAGACTTTACTTTCCTGGAATGGATCTTGGAAAAAAAAGTAATCAAGTTCTCTATCTTTATTATATGAGTCAGGAAACAAGTGTTCTTCAACCTGGAGGGAGATACTGTCTCTAGCTTCAGTGAAGGTTTTCAGTACCTTTTGCTCAGAGAACCAGATCATGTAAAATGTGAAATATTCATGGAGTGTTATCTCCAAAAATCGCTAGTAGATTTTGAATCGGCTAGTAGAAATTGGAAACTTCTTAATGGAAGAGACCCTTTGAATCAACATATCTTGTCATACAAGACAGGAATGTATCTGTTCAATTCATATTATACTGGTTTACTCAGTTGGAGTTTCTAGTAGAAGGGAAGGAGTGGTAGCTGGGACACGCAGACATAGAAAGGTTAGGAGGGTTTATACTTGTGCAGATAATTACATTTTGGCCTGGTGTCTACGATGTCTTACGGATTCAGATTTAAAAACACTGAATGTGGGTCGCTGGTAAAACATTCAGGTATAAATGTTTACATGTCCACTAGATACTGTAAATGTTATTCTAAAGTTTGAAGAAATAGTAGGACTGAACATACACAAGTAAAATCCTTCACTAGGGCTTATAGTTTGATATCTGGTAGTTGACTGTGAGGTTCTTAAAGCAAAAATTATATATATTAATCAAGCCCTCTTAATCAAGACCTCTTAGATAACATGACATTACATTGCAATTTGTTTGACAAGAATAAGGCTGATGCTTCTGGGTGATGGAATATATGTTACAATCAATGAAATTCCTGAGTACAGTGTAGTTGCCATATCCTTTTCCACACAACATGCTTCCTGAACACAAAGAATACTGTCAGCCAATATAGCAAAGAATAAGCGGTCATACAGCTGACAGAAGCTCTGTGGGCAGGGGAGGCATATCCTTTTCTGGAATATTTGTCTATTTCTCCAAGAGCACAGTAATGTTCCTTCAGGATAAGAGGGGTTCACTGCAGTCAACTTGATAGCATGTCGCCCTCTGGCATCATAGCAGGAGTTCAGTGTTGGACTTTGCTCTTGGAAGATCATCCACTCATTCAACAGTGTTGACAGATAAAACAGCCTCAGTGAGGGCAAGAGTTCGTTATTAATCCCACGTAAGGCCTCCATCCCTGCCACCAAAGACATTTTATATGATGTGTCATCTTTATTATTGAAAATCGCTTCCATAGTAGGTGTCTTCTGGTGGACGTTTATATATGACACAAATAACTACACACTCGGCCTATTCTGAGAGGTCTATCAACATACATTTTCTCAGACAAATTTGTCACCAATTTTTCAGTTTTGTTGTTTTAAAATTCTGTCCAATAAATTATTGGATATACACTAATAGGCAATGTCTACTTGAGGATAGATATTGAAATTAATATTTAGTGAGTTCCTTCTTTAACTCAGTCACTGTGTTAGAACTTTTCTTATATTACTAAATCCATGTAAATATGCAAGGGGTGCTATCCTTTCCATTTTATAGTAGAGAAAATTGAGGCTCAAGATAATGAAATATCTTACTGAGGCCACAGAACCATCATCAAAATGTATACATTAAATATGTGCAGTCTTTTGTATATTAATATACTTCAATAAAGCTGGAAAAAGTGGTAGAATCAGAATGTAAATCAAGTTATAAGTCCCATACTTCTTCTAAAACCAACTGCCTTTGAGTCAGTTGAAATCTGATCTATTAAACTTCTTATTGTGTGTGCATGTGTTTTTGATGCATAGGAGTGGGCTTATACATATTATATAAATCAATGACATGTAATTTGCTGTAATGTCTTCCCTGCCATCATTTTTTTGGTTTGAATTTTCTCGTAGGAAATAGAAAAAAAAATTCTGGCTAATTCCTCTAATACTTCTGGACCCTCATTGGCTAGGAAATGTGAGTATAGATGTGATCACCACATGCTAAGCCTCAAACTATTTAATATCCTGTGCCTTGGACCCCTGAAAGCTATTTTCTCCTTAACTTATGTTTTTCAAAATCAAATCATTTGTTTAGCTTAAGAGCACTCAAAAATTACTTGCTTTTCACTGTCTTCATTCCATCACTTAATTATGATTTAAACTGTCTTTGCTTTGCTATATTTTATTTATTTATCTCAAAACTAAATGTCAGCTTTCTTCTTTAGAAACTACAATAGCAAACAAAGCATAGTGGCTTCATCAAATAGTTTAGAGTCTAAAATAGAAGAGAGAGACAAATAAACAAACAATTACAATAAGGAATTACAAGTAGAGAGGTAAGGTTTAATACAAATGTCTAAATCTAAGAATATGAATTACAAAAAACCTATTTTGAAATACAGCCAACCTGTACACTATTGATCTTTGTAATATTCTCTGTAATTCATCATTGACTAACCTTATTTTTATTCGTTTAACAGATATATACTAATATATGCATAGATAGCATATACTATATATTATGTTAATTGAGTAGCCAACAGCTATAGACTGAGTCTATGCCCTCAATGAACTTCCAATCTTTTAGAGAAAGCTTTAGTAGTAACAAAATACTCTGTGGCTTTTTTTAGCTTTTAGGGTTAGCAATAGAGAAAATTATATGAACTTACATTTTGAAGGTTGTTATTAAGTCTTTCTGCAAAATACACATAATAATTTTAGTACTTACTCTAAAAGTGAAAGTAGCATAAGTGCTCTCTCAACTGAAATAATGTTAGAATCTCCAGAGATTTAGTGAAAGATTATTTCATATTAGCACCTATTTAAATCCTTGGAACACTTGACCTTTTGGCTATACAGTACTCCATGTAATTCCTGGAAGAAAGTCTAGATTTTTCTTGCCTCTAGCCCCTTTCCTGGCAATTGTACCACTCGACTTTACTTTCTTTACCTGAAAAACTGGTCAATGTTAAGGTGTCAGGTTAAACAAAAACTCCTTGGCATAGCACATCGACGCATCCATAGCCTGTCAGTCAGTCAGTCCTTGACACTTCCGGCTTATATTCTCACTCTTCTCATCCTGCATATTTTTTCCGGTAGACGTAACTGGTTTGAATTCACCATGCAGTTTTCTGAAAATTTGTGCTGCTTTGTGACTCACACCTGACTCCATATCTAACAAACTAACTCTTGAGAATAATAGTAGCAACACGGAATCAGAGGCTCCCTAGCTGCGATCATGAAATTTTAGTGGTGATATAGTGAACATCACACCCATACATGGACCATATTTGTCACAGAGAGTGTTATTCTCTTCTCCAGCTTCCTGTTCATTACTCTTCTCATCCACTGTGGAAAACCTTTATAAAAAGTGGGGGAAGATTCCTTTTGTTTATCGCAAGGGGTTTCCTTTCTGCCATGTCATGTTTTGTAACTAGCCCAACTATGGATCATGGGCAACCTTCCAGTTGCTCTATACCATACATCAAAACTTTTAAATTACCTAGATTTTCTAAAGCAGAAATACTTGACATTCTAATTTGGCTTCCCCTAAAAAAGCTTTCTGGCCTTAGCAAAGAAATTCTTATAATATTTTTGGAATACAATTCTAGTACAATAACAAGAGAAAACAAACCATAACGGATCCATTTGACATATTACATAATATCTTAAGACGATGATGCTATCACACACACACACACACACATTCAAAAATAGTAACCATGTAGAGATGATAGATATGTTAATTAGCTTGAGTGAGGTGATCTTTCCACAAGATATACATATACCAAAATATCAAATTGTACACTAGAAATATATACAAATTTTATGTCAAGAATATTTCAATAAAACTGTTAAAGGGAAAATAGATAACAGAAGATTAAAAGAAAGATAATTGTGTTAAAGATTTTGAGACTAGAGACAGACAAAGATTCTGAAGTTTGCTGTGGTTAAATTTATTCCAATTATGTTGGAATACAGACATCCTTATAATTACTATTAGTTTTTGAAAGATCATATCTCTTCAACCTTAAGTTGTTAATTCTCCTTATAGCCACGGTTCTTTCATATACAATGTTCCTCCAGCACAGGCTGACCTTCTCCCATATTTTCTCCTTTCCCTTCAAGGTATATATTCATCATATTTAAGATTCAGATTAAATCACCTCCTCATAAAACTTTATTTTATCTCAGGTTGATTTGGTCATGGATCTTATATTTATGGGTCATCTACTATCTGATAGGCAAATGCCACATCTTGAGGATATACATACGAAAAACAGAGATTGTGCCCTAAAGGGCCAGGAAACAGTAATCATATTACTATATGCTAATTTCAATGCCACATCTTGAGGATATACATACGAAAAACAGAGATTGTGCCCTAAAGGGCCAGGAAACAGTAATCATATTACTATATGCTAATTTCAGTGACAGGATTAAAATCAGATAGGTGCAGGAAAAAAAAAAGGTTTTCGTTGTTCTTTCTCTGTTCAAAAGTATTTTAGTAACTTGTTTGAAATCTCCTAGTTTGCATGTGGCACAAGCAATATCTTGCTGATATTTTTGCCCAACTTTACATAGCTGTAGGCTAACAAATATGTCTTTAAAAAGAAAGGAAATGAAAATGTTATGACTGAAAGTACTGAAGGAATGTCAGAATGACTTAGATATTGTAGAAAAGACTGTTCTAAAGAACAGTTTTGTTTTGTTTCAAAGATAAGCCCTGAGCTAACATCAGTTGCCAATCTTTTTTCCTTCTTCTCCCCAAAGCCCCCCAATACATAGTTGCATATTCTGGTTGTAAGTCCTTTTAGTTCTGCTATGTGGGACACCACCTCAGCATGGATTGATGAGTGGTGCTAGGTCCGTGCTCAGGATCCAAATCTACGAAACCTTGGGCTGCCAAAGCAGAGCGCTTGAACTTAACCCCTTGGGCCACAGAGCTGGCCCTCAAGAATAGAGTTTTAAATTAGGTGATTTCTCTGGTTCCTTACAACTCCAAAAATTCATGCCTCCATTTTCAAAATCAGCTTTCCCAGGTAAATTCATTTTATTTGCCTACATTGAAAATTGTCTAACAACTTTGTTCACTTAGATGTAGCTTGTCAGATCTTAATAAACATTCTCACAGTTTATAAATGTTTTGAAATTATCAAAAATATATAAAAGTCACTAGAAACTTTGCCCTTATGAGATTTCTCACTATGCTTTTGGCCCTGGAGGACAAAATGAAGGTTGAATACAGTTATTTCTTCTCATTGAAATGCTCTCCCAAAGAACCCTGCACATCAGAAGTTTATCTATCAAGTTCCAGCTCAATAGTTACCTCTTATGTAAAATATTTTTAGAGATTTCAGTCATATTTGATCTCAGTTTCTATATTATCGTACAAATGATAGAGAATACTGTAAAGTATCAACATACTCATCACAAATGTATTTTGTTCAGCATGCTGTGTTCCCATATCTATTTTCTGGTTCCGTGGAAGCTTCTTGAGTACATGTCTAATTTGGTTGGGTTCCCCCACTCTCGTACAGCTTCTCATACAGGTAAATTGATACAGAAGTAAAACAATTACATAACTTATTCAGTGTAAAATAATATATATCATCATTTAAAGTAATATTGCTGTATATCAATAATATAGAAGTCAAACAATTACCTAACTTGTTCAGTACAGAATAATGCATATCCTAATTTTAAGTAATAGTGCTATATATCATCTCATGAAAGATAAAACTAAATATGAAAATTAAAAATAACCACCTTAGTTACAGAAATAATGAGGTATCCATAAATTAGCAGATTGAAAAACAAACATATGGAGAGTTCCATCTGCAAAAAAAGATACTTTAGAATTGGAAGGAATGTTTGTCATGATCTTTTCTTCCACTCAACTCCAGTGATTCTCACTTTCACTTGACAAATGAGTCTCAGCAAAGACTAATGTTCACAACTAAATCACTCAACCTGGTTAGCATGGACCTATGCCTTTTGATTCTACATTGATTTTTCTTCTATTATATAGAATCAAGATTGAGATAAGACCTATAAGAACTATCACTGTATAGTTTAAATAACTATAATGGATACTTAAAAGAATAATTCATGTTTGAAACATTTGCAAGAAAAATATTAGATGAATATTCAGTAGTAGCTTATAATTTATGACAGGGATATTTGGACACATAACTTCTGAGTGTAGCATCATCACAGGATATTATGCCATCTCCAAAATACAAAATTTATAGTTACAACACAGAAATTGATAGACTACTGTGCTAAGTTTTATATAGTCATTTTTAAAGTTTATAGGTTGGATAATTCAAAGACAAAGAGACTTAGAAACATATTTTAGTGAAAAATAGTAGAAAAAGTTTATTAATGATTCTAGCTCTCAAAGTAAGAAGTTTCAATCAATATACCTCAAAGTGAAGTCAGATATAAACAAAGCGCATCATGTGAGATACAGTTTTCTAACTTTTACTTTTAATTTTAAAACATTTAAACATTTATAATTCTCATATTTCATACTTGTTTTCAAAAGTATAATAGTTATTTCAGGAATTGTAATCCTGCAATTGCACAAATACAGTGTGTTTACATTCTATTATTTTGAAAAACTGGACTTGTCAGTAAAAAATTGCAACTTATGGGCAACTCTGCTGAAGAGGTATAAATAAATAGATTACCTTTCATATAGAGATCTCTTGTCATTCATGAGGTGTGAGTTATAGAAATTTCTATGAATGATAAAACAGAGAAATGTCATTAGTTAAGTATATGTTATATATGAAGGATCCCCAAACATAAAAATACAGTACTTGCAAAAGCATATTTTGATAATAATAAGTGTATAATGATGTGTACCAAAGCAGTAAATAAGTAGTGAAATACCATAAAGCCACATAAAATAAATAAATCTTAGTAAAGCCTTTCCCTTGTGTTTGGGAAGAGTAAGCAGATAATAGGAGAGTCAGCACGATTCTGCCTGAACTATCTGAAAATATTAACACAGCCACAAATATTACACTACCTAGGACTCATTCTATTTAAACTGTTAAATGGCTTCACAGTGACTTAAATAGATTTGTACATGATATGAAAAAATTAATGCATTAAGCTTTTTATAATTAATAACTGTGTTGTGCATGGACAGTTTCTTTCATGACATATACTTCAAATATAAATCTATTTCTATGTTTTTTTTCATTTCTGGATTTTAAATCGAAGTAGACTTGCTAGCATTTGCTGCAATGGAAACTTCGTGATTTTCTCCTTTCTCTTAATGTCGTTTACTATGAACATTTTGTAAACATTGTGCAACTACTACATTTATGAAGTGTAGCTAATCAGTGGCCTTGTTAATTTTAGTAATTCTTTCACAGGATAGCAAAACTGCGCTCCTAGATGCGATTATATGTAAAAATGGACAAATCTACATCACATTTTTAGTAGATAGTCCAGAACTGGAGTTCAAGAGAGACAGAACACAGAATGCCAGGTTGAGGGAGAACCGTGTGGACTCCAAGACCAGCACATTTCAAGACTAATAGTAGTAAACAGTGCTTACTGAGAGTATCATGTCTCAAGTAGTGCGTGGCTTCAAACAGTTAGAAATTAAATTAAATTAAAACATTTTTTTTTCAACTTTGACATATTCATGGAATTAAGATCAGAGGAATAAGGAATAAAGTGCTAAATTTAAAAGCAAACCACTTTAGTTGCACCCATTTATAATGTTGATTTTCAGGATGTCATAAATATTACATTACAAGATAACAAATTGTGTGAGCTTTTACGTAATGCTTTTTTATGCCCTTGGTGTACTCATTTCTGGTGCATAGTTATTTTCAATCAAGATCAATTTTTGAGTTTCAGAGCAACAGTAAAATAATTCCATTTAGTACTTCCAGTTAATGTATAATTCCACATAGTACATCCAAAACTTAACTTATTGTCTTTACCCCAAAACCAACTCCATAAAAAACAACTCAGAACTACTTGTTTAATTGAGTGGATTGATTTGAGATGATCTATGGAATAACAAACTGGATTAAACCTATAAATATATCATCAGAGGCAATTTTGACATAACTACAAACTATGCATTATATCTTTATGTTTCATACATCTGGCAGTAACCTAAGCAAACTAGCCAAGGTAAAGCTGGAAGATTGTAAATAAACAAGTATATATATATATAAGAACATGGAACACGTAGTGAAAACACAGAATAATTATATTTTATTATTTGTTTATCTTATTTTAATTACATATTTCCTTTATTTATTATTATTTATTTTTTATTATATAAAATCTAAAATGAGTGTTTCTGAAAGTGATCATTCAAGGAGCAAAGCAGTTCCATTTTTTAGGCCCACCATCTTCAACGTGTGGTTTTCAAATGTGCTTATCCGAATTAAGCTCACAGAAGATAAGAATTATGGAGAATGCACCTGTGAGGTTTTTGGGAGCGCGTCCTGGAAGTGATTCACATCAATTCTGCTTATATTATATTGGCTATAATTCAATTACATCCAAATGCAAAGGAGGCTAGCAAAATATTCTGTGGCTGGTTCTCCAAGAAGAGGAAGTGGGTTTAGTAAACACATATCCTGTCTCTGCCAGTCAACTCATTTAGTCACAGAATACCAGATTTACTCTTGTCCCCAAATATAGGACAAAATCATCCTTTTTTCAAAGAAAATAAACAAAGACATCCAATTACTACACCCAATTCAACATTCAAAATCTCTAGGCCATCTATTTGGTCTTGGTAAGTTCCTAACTGTCTGACAAGCCATAAAGCAAAAGACATCTTATCTGATTTTTACATGTCTCAGTTTATACAGCTAAGAAGCAGGGGCTGGATAACCATAATAAAAATTCTCACATGGAACAGTGGAGAATGAAAGATATACCGAAATCACTTTTCAAGAGCAATTAATAAAAATCCTACAGTACAGGCCTTGTAAGAATTTCTGCTTGGACTGTTGAAGAATCACCTTAATGAGATCTCCTCAATTTTCTGCTTTATACATTGTTCTTCATGAGTGCTGGCTCTTCTTTCTCTCTTCTTCTTTCTGACAGATTCCTCCTTGTTTGTTATTGTCCAAAGCTACATCGGAAGTGGGTGTAATTTGAAGAAAATGACCTGTTTGATAGTAAAGAGTTTTTATAGTGTTTTTCCTACTTTGCAACTCTGAACATCAAGGATTGATTTGAAGTAAAAAAGTCAAAGGATTTTTGTTTTCTGGATTTGTTGTTTCTTTGACAACACAAGCCCCTCAGAATAGTAGGTTTCTGATCCTATTGCTTACAGGCATTTCAAATGTGCCAGTAAACCATACAAAGTGCTCTCAGTGCATAATTCTCAGGTCTGCTGTATTTATTTGCTTTAGTAATCTTATGCTCCTCTTCCCACTTAATTTTGGCTAATTTGAGGTAACCAAGGGAAAAGATTCAGGTGGGTCAGTATTAGCTTGAATGATCTTTGTCTCAGAACTAAGATACTTGTTCAACTAAGGAATCTTATTGGATCTATATTGCTAAGCCTTTTCCAATCTCTTTATCTTTTTACTTGGATCCGGAAGTAGTTGGTGTCTTTCCTAACCCCATAACTTTCTTTATTTCTATATGTTCTCTATTCATGTCTATATTTGAAAACCAGTCAATTCTTGCTTGATCTCATATCTTATAATTCCTTGCTAAATGCTGCCAACCACAGTTAATGCACAGTATATCAGTTTTAACTCCGTTTCCCTGAAGTCAGGCTCAGTAGGCACATAGTCTGTTTTCAAAGTTTTCAACAGTTTTATGGGCAATAGTTTTACTGATTATTTTGCTGTTATATAACACAGATCTTCAGCTTTACAATTTGCAATGTCTATTTTCTTACCACCGGCCGTCCAACCACTAAGCCAACATCACGTACTTTAGGTCCCTGTGAAGGCAGTAGGCCATTTCCAGTTACCAGTTTTGGTATAAGCTCATGTAACGTTAGCTGCTCTAATAAATAAATGTACAAAAACTCAAACATGAGTGAAGTTTATTTATCATTCAGTAAATTCCCAAACTAATGTGCCTGACTTGCCTGAATCTTTCTTCCAAGTAGTGATTTACAAACCAGGGCTGCTTCTGTCTTGAGGCTCTGCAGTTTTCAACGCTTGGACTTTCATGCACGTTAGATCATGCTTAAAGAAAGGAAACAGGCATGGAGGATTGCATAAGGGAAGTTTCATGGGTCAAGCCTAGAAAGAGTGTGCAATGCTTCCACTCATATTCTATTGTAAGCCATAGTGGGTGACCACACCCAACACCATGGAATCTAGCTGTGTATGCCGGAAGAAGAATAAATAGTTTTGTATCCATTTTTGAATCAGTGTGTGATTTGACAATATAATTTCAATTTTCTTCAGAAAGAGATTTCTGCTTTTCTAACATACTATTTATATAATATTGGGGAGGAAAGCCTAAAAGTTTGGAAGGATGTTTTTAGGTCATAGAAGAATTGTCATTGTATACAGCTGCATTCTGAGGAGGAAACTGGTAACTGCGAAAATATG